GTAAATACGCTTAATCCGTTCTGAACCATATGTATTTTTTTTTTAAACCACAAAAATATGAAACAAAGTACAGTATGAAGAGAGAGAACGCTAACCTTGCTTGAGGCGATTTCTGGTGTGGAGGACAGGAAGGCCGGTGGGGAGGCGAGGTACCACTGTATGTGTTCAAGACTCAGATCATCCAGATGAAGGTGGCAAAGAGGATAAGATCAGTGCCTGAGAAATAGGTGAGGAATTTCAACAAAATTAGACTAGAATAGAGATAAGTGTTTGAAACCTGGTATGATTGCTCTCTTCAAATATTTGAAGGGCTGTCACTTATATGATGATAGCCATACTGGCAGGGTATGAAGGAAGCTGTAATCCAATACTTCTGGAGGGCACCACATTTGGGAAGTATGCTTCCAACAGTTTCACATTACCAAAAGAAGTTAACAGTTGAACATTAGAATAATCTGAGTGTGGCGGAATCCACCTCAGACAATGATAGACTTCTTTTCATCAGAGCTTTTTAAACCAAAACTGGAGGGGTAACTACCAGGTATGCTGTAGTGGTCAACTTTCTGTTGTAGCAGTAAACTAAATCACTGTTCAGGTTTTTCCAGTTCTATAATACTCTGAATCCTGGATTCATTCTACCAGCTGATTGGGGAAGCTCCAACCTTGGGGTGAACCTACTTCCCATTGACTACTATGGGTTGAGCGTTGAATTCTGCATCTCTCTCTCTCTCTCTCTCTCTCTCTCTCTCTCTCTCCTCCCATCTCATTAAAAAGTGACTCTGTATGCTTAGATTTATAACCTGGAGGGCACAAATATTGCCAAGCACTGCATGAAATGCTAATAAAGTTGGGAAGAGGGTAGTGGAACATCTCAGTGTTTCTCAGTGCTGTTTCTCTCTTGTGTTTTTCCAATAGTCCCTGCTCACCCAGAACTGGTGGGGAGAAATGGACCGAAGCACCTCTGTCTGGCAGCTTCTTCTCACATTTTTTTGCCCCCCTCTCATCTTTACTAACCTCATTACATTCAGGTGGGTGCTACGGGGCATGGTCTGATTGACACTTAATGGTGTGGTGAAGAGATTGCTGTGCAGGTTACTGTTACTGTAGTTATTTAGTAACTGCAATTCCTGAATATCAAAATTAGTGGAAGTCTTCTTTAGGTAATTGAGCATGAACACATATACTTTCCTTAGCTCAGGAGCAACATTTCTCTTCCAAATCCTGGGGTTGTCCTGCAATTAATCCACCTGCTGGAACAAGTGGAACAAATGAAAGCAAACCTTAGGCCCTTGTTCCTGGATTTTCTAGCAGCGCTATGACTTGTGGCTGAATTTTAGCATCTGCATTTAAAAACATGAAGTCGGTCAGGCAGTCATTCTGATCCATCATGTGATCTTTAATAGGAACATGGACGATGACCTGCGGCTGGATTCCTTGGAACAGTTTGAACTGGACAGTCTTGATACAGATGTGAAAAGTACCATCGGAGACATATTATCTGAGTAGGGGGAATGATCATGATCTTGGGAACGTGGGCTGTGGGAGGGCGGAAGTATGGGTTATCATAAATGAAGGCTGTTGATGCAGTGGGACTGAGGGCGGCCTGGGTCTCTTGGGGATATTCTAGGGTTGTTTTTTTTTCTGTGAATGTCCAGCTTTCATCAAAAAGTAATGAAAAATCCAGAAATGGAAACTATGGCCCTTGACATGTAGATGCACTACAACTTCCAGCATTCCTGACTATTGCCTAGGATTGATGGAAGTTGAAATTCAGCATCACCTGGAAGGTCACACATCTTGGAGATAAAAAGAAAACCAGAGCCATTTGCAGGCTGTCAACTTGATATCTTTCTTACTACACATTAGAGCTGCGGAAGAATGGGATTCTGCACATGCTGAAAAGAATGCAGCGCTGCATAATTTCTCTTCAGATTTCAGGGCAGCAAAAACGACAACACAGAGAAACACTCCTCCAGGGTTCAGCAAGCCACTAGGAAAAATCATTGGATATTGGATATCATAGGTCTCCCAGAGCACTTGTCTATGACCTTTTGTGGTTTGCTAAGCTTGTCATATAGCTGTCTAACCTTGGTTGATGCAAATACATGGTTGGAATTATGCAGGTGATGCCCACTAACATTTCAGGAATCAGAGTAACTGCTCAGTTAGATTTTAAGTAGCCAAAGGACTGGATCTCCCAGTAACCACTGTGAGATGACTATAATGGACCAAAAACAAAAAAAAAAGCCCTTAAGTGGCGTCAATGAACTAGGCTATTTATTTTTATACATACTTACACATATTATAGAGGGGAGGGAGAAAAAAGGTGGGAAAAGAAATTTAAAGCATCAAACAGTATCGCAGACAAGTTTGTTCTGGCATTCAAAAAGGATGCAATTAATTACTAAAATCATATGTTTATCCCCATGACTAATAAAATAATATTAAATATTTAATTTTCAAATCAAAATACTATGCAAATAAATGCTTTGCTGTCAAATCATATTTAACATACTCAGTGTATCTAAAAACCATGGCTGAGAAATGCTTTAGAGGCATTCTCCTTCTCCTTTCTCATAAGAGAAGGACAGCCTGTTCCGAACAAGGCCATTAGATATGGACATCCACAAAAACTGGAAAAAAAACCCACACTTCTTATTTGTTTGTTTATTTTAAAATGCATTTGGCCCCTTTCAGAACAGACATTTTTCAGGTCACTCATAAACATTTATTCATATGCAAATACATAGGCCTTTATTTAATGAATTAATTGATCAAAGCAATAGAATCACTCATGCCCTAGTCACCTCCTGATTGGACTACTGTAATGCGCTGTACACGGGGCTGCCCTTGAAGAGTATCTGGAAGCTTCACCTAGTGCAGAATGCAGTGGCACGGGTAGTTACATGTGCTCCTAGAACAGCACGTGTTACACCTCTGCTCCACAAGCTGCATTGGTTGCCAGTTTGCTTTCAGGTCCATTCAAGGTGCTGGTTTAAACCTTTAAAGCCCTTCGTGGCATGGGGCCAGGTTATCTGAAGGATCACCTCTCCCAGATTATATCCCGTCTGTCAGGAACTACACTTGGCAGGCCCGAGGAGGGGGTCCCTCTCTGCCATGGCACCCACCTTAGGGAACATTCTCCCCCCCCCCCCGCCCCAAAGTGAGGACATCTCCATCCCTACTTATATTCCAGAACTCCTTCAAGTCCTAGTTATGTAGTCAGGCCTGGGGGGTCTGATGGGACCAGTGAGATCTTGAGGTGGCTCCAGTACTTGGTGACTAACATTCATTCTTTCTTGTTCCTTGTCCTTTTTTACATTTTAATAATGACTGTCCTTATACATTTATTGTTTTAATTCATTGTTGTACGCTGCCTAGAGTCACTTTTTGTGAGATAGGCGGCCATACAAATTTGATTGATTGATAAATAAATAAATAAATAGTCAATCAATTTGTTTTTAAGGTGGAATTCACGCATTTTCCCCTTCTTCTCCTTTTCATATCCTGAGCCAGCAGTTTGGAACATCCCTCCCCTGTTTCTGCTCGACGATTATGGTTACGACGGTGGCATCAATTCTGGGTGGCGCCTGTGACAGCATTCCTGGGCAATGTAGTGATGTACTTGCTCTTCCTCTTCCTCTTCTCCTACGTCCTGCTGCTGGATTTTGACCCTCCACCTCCCAGAGGTCCATCTGGCACTGAGATAGTTCTGTACATCTGGGTTTTCACACTGGTTTGCGAAGAGGTGCGTCAGGGATGCTTCGTGGGTTCCCATCCTTTGTTGCAGCGAGTACGACGGTACTTCCTGGACACGTGGAACCAGCTTGATATCACAGCTCTGCTACTCTTCATGATAGGACTAGTATGCAGGTACATGTCCTTCTGTACTGCAGAAGACTTCAGTACTGTTCACTTACTCTGAAGTTTTCAAGTAAGGTCGTGAGGTCAGAGATTAATGGTGTTGGAGGTAAAAAGGAATGGTTTGTACCATGTCGAATTAGCTTCTTGTTTCCTTACGCCATTGTCTACACCACAGGCTGTTTCCTCAGTCATATGAATCAGGACGCACCATTCTGTGCCTGGATTTCATGATCTTCACCCTTCGTCTTATCCACATCTTTGCTGTCAACAAACAGCTGGGGCCCAAGATGATTATCGTCGGCAAGATGGTGAGAAGGTGCATTTTTGATGCACACGGAATAATATATAGAAAGAGGATAATTGAATGTGCAAGAGGGTTTTTTTTGTTTTTTTTAAGAAAGAACAGAGGCTGTTTAAAGAAATAGACATGCAAAAGCTAGTGAGTTTAATATAGGAGAGCAAATTGTCTTTCAATATGTCAATGAATCTTTGTTCTCTCCTTCTTCTCTTCATAGATGAAGGATGTATTTCTCTTTCTGTTCTTTCTTGCGGTATGGTTGGTGGCCTATGGGGTCACGACTGAGGGTCTCCTTCTCCCCCATGATCGACGACTCCCTTGGATATTCCGACGTGTTTTCTACCGACCTTACTTGCAAATTTTTGGACAGATCCCACTCAGTGAAATTGACGGTATGTATTTCAGGGGTTCTGGCTGACTTCTCTTCTGGATTCACATCCAGTTTGGCCTCTTGAGGCTCAAGAAAGAGTAGTGCAGGCTTGTGGATAAAGCACCAAATAGGTAATAGCCTGCTGGGGACTGTTATACAACTCCACTTCTTTCTTTCTTTCT